TACGCCGCGGCTGCACTGGGGAAGAATATTTTCGTGACGGAGGCGGTGTTTCCGGATCTATACCTAGCGTCCCACTCGCTGACAGTGTCCATGCGGATTCTCCATTTGACGAATGAGACGGGGCATCGGTCATAATCCGGCCTCCTTTTCGATCGCAGCGCTGCCTCCTTCGCCAAGCAGTCGGCCCTTTCATTTCCCTCCAAACCTGCGTGGGCTTTTATCCAGAACAAGCACACGCTCTTGTTCTGCATGGCACAGTGGCGTAGAGCGTTTCTTGCTTCCACAGCCAGGGGATGGGGGGAGGCAGGGTTGATGACAGTTTGCAGCGCTGACATCGAGTCGCTGAAAATGCCGAACGTGGTTTTTTCGCTACTGAGCGCCTCCCCGGCCGCTCTCTGTAGTGCTAATAGTTCTGCTTGGTAGACGGTACAGTAAGACGGCAGTACAAGTTTTTTAGATGTATATTCGGTTGCGCTATCCCACAACGATAGCGCTGCACCGACTTTGCCCTCGATCTTGCTGCCGTCCGTGAAAATTCGCACGTCGTAGTTCGAGGCGTGTTTGTTGTATTGTTCCTCGTCCACCAAGCTGTTGAACTCCAACGTTTGCTGCTCGGCCGGGTGAGGAAAGTCCACCGCACGTGTCATCTTTTCTATCTCCCTATCCCCCAGAACTGGATGGGGCGCCCCCCTCTTTGCTTCGTACAATGAAGCAGCTTCACGCACTCGAAGATCGAGGGGGAGTATCCCAGCCAGCAGGAGAGCCGAGTGCAGAGAGACCGTGCGGTGGGCTCTGCAGAGTTTTTGGGCGAAGCTTCTCTGCACCACGTTCAGTTGCTTTTTTATGCCCAGTTTGTCCACGGCTGGGGCCCACACACTCGCGGCGTACAGCACTATCGGTTCGACAGCGGCAGTGTATATTGAACGCACGACCTCCGGATGCAGTCCCCAACTCACCCGCGCCGATCTGGCTAGGCGCTTGTAAATCGCAATAGCTTTTTTACAAGCGCCAGTGACGTGGGAGTTGAAAGTGAGGCCGGCGTCGATCGTCAACCCCAGGATCTTCACCTCTTTTGACATTCCAATGTCGATCCCGCCCATGATCAGGCGTGGGGTGTCGTACTTCAGTCTTCGCGTGATGACCATGGCACTGGTTTTGTGCGGTGCGAATTTCAGCTTATTTCTGACACCCCACGCACGCACATGCTCGAGAGCGGCATTGGCTTGTCGTTCTATCTCCAGGGCTGTACCACCGTCGAAAATCAGCACGACGTCATCCGCAAAGGCCTGGCAATAGTCTCCCCTGACTTCCAGCTGTCTCAGGAGCGG